TAAGTATCATAAAGTGTTTGTTTTTAATCATTTTAAGTGAGAATTAGATGACTAAAAATTTAAATGATCATGCACAATTAAGCATTCAATATCGACAATACCAATAATTAAAAAACTGTAATATCATGAGCCCTACGGAAAGTGGTTTCCACTTTACTTTACTTTACTTTTTTTTAGTAAATTAATGAATCCAAAATGATTGTCTGTGCTAACAGCATGTCTCAGATTGCGTCGATAGAGCTTAACTTGTTTTGAACCCAGAACATTCCTTTACCTTTTTCTATTAGAAACACAAACACAGTGAATATGGCTTAAAAATCATCAATATTCTAACTTATGCTTTCACAAATGGTCAGAGAACTTTGAGGGTCTTCGAAAAGTGAAATGTGTTGGGCTGTGCTTTTATCCACAATCTCTAGACTAAGGTCCATCATACATGAAAAGTCCTTTCAACTCCACTTCCTTTCACATTCTCTGAGCAATGCAAAAGGTGAGAACAAGGACAAAGTGTGCTAGTGGAGACGCAATACTGTGGAACACCAGTGGTCCTTAAAGACCCCCACGAGCCGCTGAATGGACATGCTGTAACCTCTGAGGAAACGCTCCATCAATCCTGCGCTGCTACTCAGTAAATAAAAGGGCTTGCTTCAGAACCACAGCCTTTGAAAAGGGAGACACAGCTGGGATTGCGGCCACTTTTAATCAGACAAAGAAGTGGACAGGATCCACAAAGGGAGATTTCACGTAACGCTTCACCTGTCGCCTGGAGTGTTATTGAAGTTGAACCATGGTGTGGCAGGCGCGCGCACACACACCAAAAACACACATGCACATGCTTATTTTTGCTCAGGCGTGGTGATCTCGGTCTAGCGCTCGGGTACCGACTGCGGACCAGACTTGAGACAAAGTCCATAGCCCTGAGCCTGGTCGTCACACTGTGCCCCACTCACACATCCATCTGTGGAAAGCAATACATCTGTTCCTCTGACCACACAAGGCCAGGCCTTTTGCTGCAGACGGTGGTGGCAAGTAGGAATGTGACTTTTGATTTGGCTTCTCACATGGAACAGGAATTTATGCTGGTCAATGAAAAAGCTGCAAAGTACACATTTGTCCTACAGGGCGGAAAAAGGACAAATGAGAAAAAAATGTGCGATTGTTTGTGTGGCATTTATCACTTTAACACAATCTATTTATTTAGATAAGTGCCTCCATGTGAAACACATTTCACCAGAAGAAAAGGCAACAGGAAATGGAAATGAGAGGTTTAGAGAATGGTGTATCGATTCTTTAAATAATTGTTTAACTCTTCACCTTTTATGACAAGCTTTTGCATAGCAAAAACAAAAAAGTAAAGGTTCAAATAACACTGGATCTGGACAAACAGTCAGACAGAAAGTTATTTCAGAAACAATACAAGAAGGACGAAATGGATGAAATGACAATACTTAATATGGCACCAGTAAGAAAGAAAGTCCCACCATTTAGTCAAAACAGTCTAAACAATGTCTTGATTCTCTAGAAAACTCTATAGAACCAACTTTTATAGCCTGTAAAAATTAGGGATGTACCCCTATACAAAAGAATAATGATAAAGGAATAATGAGGATTATGTCTCTTTCAATCGTAATTTTACACACCACACGGATACGTTGTTTTCGTTCAAATCAAAGCATAAATACATGGCGCAGCTGACACAGAACAGCATACGCTGTTTGCGTTCAGTGGATACTCTCCAAAATGGTGCTAGGGTGACGCGGAAGAGACGAATTGTTGAATAAAGTCGTTATTTTTGTTTTCTTTGCGTACAAAAAATATTCTCGTAGCTTCGTAAAATTACTGTTGAACCCCTGATGTCACATGAATTATTTTACCGATCTCCTTGCTATGTTTCTGGACGTTGATCGTGTTAATTACATTGCTGTCTATGGGAGGGTCAGAGAGCTCTCAGAATGCATCAAAAATATCTTAATTTGTGTTCCGAAGATGAATGGAGGTCTTACGGTTTTGGAACGACATGAGGGTGAGTAATTAATGACAGAATTTTCATTTTTTGGTGAACTATCCCTTTAAGACATCATACGTTTTAATTTTAAGCACAAATAACTGGAATAAATGTCTAACATCAGTCAATACTAATAAATTATAATAATAATAAAAAACACAAATTATATCCGATCACTAGAGAAACAACGTTTTCAGCTTTCAGTGTAGCCTGATTGCAAATAAAGCAGCAACCTTAACAAATCCATTTAGTCAAATCTGTTTTAAAAATGAAAAGTTTTGACTAATTTACCCCAATTGAACTAAACAGGAGCTGAAATTGAGCACCTATATTGCAAAAAGCAGCAATATAGATGGCCACAGAGTGGTCTGACTTTTCTTAAAAGGGCTTTGGGTTACTTCCTCCATGTACATGCTGTTTGATTAATAATATCACTATATGGTATCCTCTTTCACAATGTCACACTGTACAATATGAGACCACAGGCCTGTGTTTTTACAGATAAAATCAATATTGCTGGGTACTGATATCCTTTGGCTATATCGGTATACTGTATAACTCCTGCACAGATCTTTACATATGTCTCGATGGAGTCATTCAGCCTTCAACCAGAATCAAAGTCAGCAGCACTTCTGATGGAAGTCCAGGGCTGATATCGCTGCTCCTGGTTTCTCCAGCACTAGCCGGGCAGGAAAAGAGAGTGGAGGCTTCAATAGCTTATTTCTGCTCTGCTTCTTTACGGCTGAATCATGGCCACAGAAAGAGAGCTGGCTGTGGGTGATCTCTACAGCTATGAGTAGATGCTGGCCCACTGAGCAGGGACAAGGCTGCTTTGTTGGGGTCCTTCATGCAATGGGTCAGGCTCCTCCACAGCGGCCGGAGGGCCGACGTGGGAAAAGCGGCAGCTTGCAACCAGCTTGCGTTCCACATCACTAAGCGTCAGAAAGAAATCTGCTGACGCCTGATTGTGTGGATGTACATATCTCTGCATGTGTTTGTGGGTGTCCTACTAGACACTTACAGGATTTAACTAACCCTTTTTCACTTTAAAAAGACATCGAAAGGCAATCCACAACAGCAAAGAGGCTCTTTAGTGCTGCACGAGGATGTTTTGCAACATAGAACATAGCGATTTCCCATTCTTTAAAATCACAGAGGGAAAGACATAAAGCTTTGAGAGGGGGCACAGCATCCTCTTTAAAAGCTGTTGTAAAGAGGTAAAGCTGACATGGGGTGGCTGTTACATAAGGGGAGAGTGTGTCCATTCATTTTTAATGCAGGTGAGGGCCCTCTCTGTGCAGGGAAGAGAGCAGATGGGCCGCTGATGGAGAGCTCAAGCCCCGTGGATGGCTCTGTGCATTCTTCTGCAGCTCTGCCATGCAGGTAATTCACCAGCAGTGTCATCAGCATGAATAAAAGATAACTCAGCCCAGCTGACTTCTTTTATGCAGTTTCAGACTTTTTGTTAAGTAAAATACTTTAAAGGGGTACTTCACCCAAAAATATGTCATAAATTCTGTTACTCAGCCTCATGTCATTCTTGTATGAAATGCTTTCATCTGCAGAACACCGTAAAATGTAAGTCAGTGAGGTCCAACATTATATGGACATAAAAAGAAAGACATTTTTCAAAATGTCTTCTTTTGTGTTCATACAGGTATAATGTATGGAATGACATGAGGGTGAGTAAATGATGACATGACTTAAAAAATGTCTAAAACTGCATAATTACACATAGGATTTTTTTTAATTGCATTGCAATTTTACTTTACATTAGAAAATATCTAGTGCATGAGAATTAATAATATATAATAAGTACCATGCAGACAATGAGAATATTTGAAAGCATAAAAAATATTTATGCATCATAAGCCAATTTGTATGTATATTTGATAAAACCATTCAAAAAAAATCTTCTGTCCATATTACGGATGCCACACTGACATTTTTAATTTCTATTTAGTAAGGGATTGAGCACTGAATGAATAAAAAAAAATATCTAAAATGACATCAGAGAGAGGTTTTGAATGCATTCTTGTTCTTTGCTCACTGATTGTCTTGACCTATAAAACTGGAATGCTGCTTTGACGAATGAGGACAGTGCGTGCCTGGCAAATCCTGCTTCCTGTGCACTGAACACTACAGTAGTATGGTTTTGGTTTGCATAGCACTCATGGCCAGCTGGGATGGCTTTATGATGAGCAAACAATTTTACGAATTGTATAAACTGAAATTTTTACACACTCATTAATTGAGGCAAACATTAATGGTGGACAAAAAAAGGATGTTCTGTGCCATGTGCCCAGTTACATGATCTATACCCCTTTGTCAGTTGCGGTGCTTAAGTACGTCTGGACTTAGCGGCTGCAGACGTCCTGAACCCTATCTAAGCACGGATGAGAAGGAAACTGTTATATGCTGTCCAGACATCAGTTTGTCCCCTGTGGCACTATGGGACACACATGCTGTACATTTGTGCATAGATAATTTCTGAACTTCAAGCTACAACTGACTGCTGAACTAGATATTGATAAAAGGCTAAATATTCTGAGGGAATTACTGTCTCATATTTTGATACAAAGAGGTAGTCAAATTGTGAAACAAATAGATTGACCCCAAAAAGTATTTGGACTTTGTACATTATATAATAAAATATCACACCATGAGATTAACTTATGTCATACATTAAAAAAAATATAATAAAATAAAATCATATTGGGCCACTTAAAAGCAAAAGTAAAGTAAAAATTGTTACAAGATGTAAAAATATTTCTGAGAAAAGCTCTAGCCAAATATATTTGAAGGCGTCACTTGGTTTGATGTTGTGTTACCTAATTCAATAAGTCAAACATTTTAAAATGTGATGTCAATGTCCAAAATTGTCCAATTACTTTTTGTAGCCATAGTACATCTGAAATTACATTACAGTAAATGGAAAAATCATTCAATCATTAAAGATTGTTTGTTACAGGACTCAGAAGTAGGCCACACTCACCTCTACAATGTCAGAGTTGGTTCTGCTCTCGTGGGGTTCGTTGTATTCTGTGTACTTAAGTAGGACTTTGTCCATGTCAGTGCTGGCATACTGAAAGAGTTTGTTCGAGCTGTTGAATATGATCAGGGCAATCTCACAGTCACACAACACGCTGAGCTCGTAAGCTTTCTTCATCAAACCAAACTTCCGTTTTGTGAAGGTAACCTGTGAAAAAACAGAGAAAATAAGAATGCTCAGTAAAATGTTAACACAGATGCACCACAATATTTGCCTTCTTATTAGTACATAGAAAGTCAATCAAGATTATCTCTAGAGAATACAGAGGAAAATACCATACTGTTGTAGTTCATTAGCCCAACAATTAATAACAATAAAAAAGGAAATCTCATTAATGTTCCATGTTCACAACAAGTTATGCTCTACTGACAACATTTGTGGCAAACCATAGAAAATAATTTTAAGTAAAAAAAAAAACATATACAAATCAGGGACTTGCAGTCCAAAAACTACTATACTATACATTGTATACATGTATTACTATACATTTCCTTGTAATTTGAAATGTAACAAAGCTTACATAAAAAAATGTTGGTAATATGTATGTAATTGTCTATAAATTATTTATTTGCCAAATGACAGTAATTTTCTGTAAATTTGTGCCAGAATGGAATTTGGTTGAGCGGATACATAATAGCTTTGGCACCTACTCTCTATTGTCATGAATCGTCATTACTGTTGCGCATTCTCATTGGTCTGTTGGAATGTGGGTGATTTCATGCGCAAGAAAAGCTGTCTGTGATTTGCTCACACAAGTGGAAAAATGTGCTGTTGCTGCTAAATCCCGGTCACCAAAAATCATATTGTATTTGATGCAAAACTAACATGACTAAATCATATGAAAAAAAAAGTAACTGTATATTTTCCTGAATCAAGTTCACTGAAAACATATCTTCTTATATTTTTGGCCTAGACTAAGCATGTTGAAGGTATACATGTTTTTTGGCAACATGCTTGAGCAAACTAATTAAAGTTAAATATTAATATTAAATTAAAGAGGAATATATTTGGGGAGAGGCGTAGCACTACCTGGTTAAAGAAGTCACAGCTTATTTATATAATATAATAACAGTAATAGTGTTAAAAAAGGGACGAATAAAAGTCATTGTTTGATAGGAACTCAGGACATCCCTTTAATAGAAAGCTAACAAATACTCAAACTATAACTTTAAATCACAGATCAAAATAATTGTGGTGGAGACCCTGACAATGGTTTTGGACGGTCTATCGGGATCTGAAAAAGTCTAATTGTTTTAGTGGTCTCCATCTGTCCTGGGCCATGTTACTGTGAGATAATGAGTCAAGCAGACAGCAGAGCTGCCACACTGATGCCATGGCAGGTCAGACAGAAGGTCAGCGTGAGGAAAGCAACAGAGGTTCCACAGCCTGTGCAATCAGCCCATTAGGGAGACAGCGGGCTCCATCACTCCTGCCTGCATCCTCTGACAGCCTCTTCCTGCAGGGCCATCGCTGTAACACGAGCCGGCATATACACTTCTGCAGGTCGCACATACACGCCCATAACTATCTGACTTTTCTAGAGATGACCAGCCATTAAGCACCAAGCTATACACCTTTCTTTTGATCCAGCTCTACAGTGAGCCAAGCCATGCATGTGTCCTATTATCCATGAGAAGCTCATTCAGGATCCTTCAAAAGCCTGAAAATGAATTATGCATTTGTTCAGCTCTCATGTTTAACAAGTGTTGTACAGTGGAGATAGCAGCAGATTTACTTTCATAATATGGAAGCGTCAGAACAACATCATGGACGAGCATATGAACACTCAAGATGAGCAGGATGTGTCGTGCACATGGCAAAACTTACAGAGATGCCATGGAAAGCTGTGCCTAGGGCGAAAAGAAGTTGGAGAGTGTGAGCATGTGACGGAGAGGGGGAGAGAGAGAGAGCTGTATGATTACTTCCGCCAATTTCACTGACCTACAAAGCAGAGCTGAGCAGATGAGCTGGCTTTGTTCAACTTTAATTGGTCACAGCTTGCAGAAACCCTCATTTCAAATGGTACAATGCAATATAATCCAATGAGCAACACACTATCTCTGAATCCATACTGTTTTCTGTCCAACTGTATAGGTGGAATGTTACATGTTCTGCATTACAGGTGATTACAATGCTTAATTGTGTTTTCAGAAGAACAAAACATTTGGAAACTTGATTTAAGCAATTAATGCATAAAAAGACATATATCATGTCATTATGAGGTAATCAAACATAACAAGAATTAGAATTAGAACACAGGATAAAACATACAGTATATAGGCCTACACATATATAACTGTTCAAAAGAAGAATTTTTTTTTTTTTTTTTTTTAAGTATTCTATGCTTCATTTACTTGATTAAATATAAAATCAGTAATGTGCAAAATGCAATAATACTGTGAAATATTATTGAAATATACAATAACTGTTTTCTATTTTACTATATTTTAAACTGTAATTTATCTCTGTAATGACAAAGCTGAATTTTCAGCATTCATTACTCCAGTCTTCAATATCACATGATTCTTCAGAAATCATTTAAATATGCTGACTTTGTGCTAGAGGAGCATTTCTTATCATCAATGTTGAAAACAGTTGTATAATACATAAATGCTCAATAAATAAATGCTGTATAATATTTCTGTGGACACTCTCTGAAACTCTGGATACTCTGATAAATAGAAAGTTTAAAGAACAGCATTTATTTGAAACATACATATATAAGCAATATGTATGCATGCATGTGTATAAAAACGCATACTGTACATTATACAAGCATGCCACACTTCACAAGACTGCTGTTGCTGCTTAAAATTCCATGACAGCTACCAAGTAACTGTTGAACCAAATCAAATCGCACAGGACATATGTTATGTTGATACACATTCATCTAAATCCATTCAACCTCCAATGACATGAGGCAATGACACACAGCAGCTTTCATTATCAATAAACGGGAAGTGAATAGAGTGTGCTGGTGGAGCAGGACTGTATACCTGAGCAGTCCAGGGAGAATAGTAAGTTAAGCTCAGGCAGACAGCAGTGTGAATTCCCAGAGCCACAGAGAGTAGCTCCCTCCCAGCTGTCATTAGATTCCTCTTGCCTCTATTGCAGAGCAAACACAAGGCAAAGCAGCCTCCAAAATCTCTCTGGACAAGCCTTTTCCAAGTATATCATCATTAAATGCTCCTTCCTACCATAAATGGCAGATTTAATTGTGCAACTTAATAGTGGAAAAAGAGATGGGAACCATAGTCCAAATAGGTGGCATAGTTCAGGTTGAAATTGACCTCTGAGGCAGCAGAAGAAAATGTCACCTTTAGTATAGGACGGGCCCTGCTGTACGGTGTGTGTGGTGACATTGTTCCACTCCATTTCTGTTCAGGGCACTCAGAGTAGACGCTTGCTGACCCAGAGTAATGATTTATTCCAGCTGCAGTGCCGGACATTGTCACAGATGTATAGACACACATAAAACCATTCACACTCAAACAAGAGCTTTTAACTTCATAACTTATCATAAAAAGAGCAATTATACTCTTCTCAGCCTTGGGCAGCACAATACACGTCTGTGACTGCAGTGATGACAAACACAGTTGTCATCTGTACGATAAGTACAGTGTACCAGCCACAGTATCAGAATGCCACAAATAAGCACTCTAGCTTCAACCAGGGCTTTTGGGTGAGTCCCCAAACAACACCCCTAGTCTATTGGGTCACTGCTGAGCCAGTGAAAAGCCATAGAGAGATCTGAGGTCACTGGGGCTTTTTTCCCACTAGCTTATAGAGAAACACACTCACGCAGCAGTTGGGCTACGGTGTGACTGATTTCAGACTTTTTGTGTTCCAGTTCTACATTACTGTAATATATATGAGTTAAGGCTGCACAATTAACTGAAATTAAACCGAAATCTCGATATGGCTTAGTGTGATTATCAAATCACAAAGGCTGTGGTTTAAGTAAATAAATATACAGTATGCACTGCATTTTTCAGAGTGAAGAGCAGGACTGTGTTATTTTACATGTAAGCAGCTCATGTTTTCAGTGTCTCAGAGCTGCTCGGTTCACAGCAAATGCTGCTCCACACAAACTCATCTATGCATCTGCTCTGAGTTTGGGTTGTTTATAATGTGCATTTGGGAACGCAACATGTCCCAACATCTTCCCATACTTGTAATGAGAAGCGCTTCTAAACCAGCTGTGGTCAACAAAAGAGAAGCTTTTTCTGCGTGGTTTAACATTTGAAACATACTGTATACTGTGTTTTTTTTATTATTATGATATTCTTTTTTCTTAACTATTTTACAATAAAAGGTTACACTAGTAATATTTCTTATTTTGTTGAATTACATATATTTTTATTATTATAATATAATATATATA